TCTTTCTTTCTTTCTTTCTCTCTCTCTCTCTCTCTCTCTCTCTCTCTCATCTCTCTCTCTCATCTCTCTCTCTCTCCACCCTGTCAGTGTGTTAGCTGCTGACATGGTGTGTCTGCTTGCCCTAACAAGTGCAACCCTTGTAAAGAATTCAGCAGTAATCCTGGATGCGGCACAGTGAATAAAGGAGGTTTTAGTCTCTTTGTGATCTGGTATGCAGCCACTGTCATCACTGACACTGCTATGTTTCTCACTTAACTGTGTTTCTTATTTAACAAAATCATTAATGGTCCAAACTATGATATTTATCTGCTTGCCCTAGTGAGTGCAACCCTTGTAAAGAATTCAGCAGTAATCCTGGATGCGGCACAGTGAAAAAGGAGGTTTTAGTCTCTTTGTGATCTGGTATGCAGCCACTGTCATCACTGACACTGCTATGTTTCTCACTTAACTGTGTTTCTTATTTAACAAAATCATTAATGGTCCAAACTATGATATTTAATTGAGTTCTACATTCTGGTCTGGAATTGCACAAACAGACAAGCAAAAAGACTCTTGAAATGCCACTCAGACAATCAGATTTAAGGACTGAATATATATGTGTTGTTGTTGCTGTTTTCTGATCAGTGTATCCATCTTTTCCTGCTTACAAAACCATGAATTCATTTCAGTTGAATAATATTCATTGATTTTATGCTAATTAGATTACTGAATTGCTTTGCTTACAACTGCATGGTTCACAGATTTTTTTGTTTGATATTTATGTACCAGCAGTTGATTTTTACTTTAAGCAAGGTTCAGCTCTTTACCTTTACAAGGTTCTCTTCTTTATATTATGAAGTTATTATGAATTTTTTTTCAGTGGTGTCATCATTTATTTGATCTTATTCTATTTTATTGCTTCTCATCAAATTCCTTTATAGTTTTAATTGTTTGACAGTTTTAACATATGTAAATGCACCCTAAAAATGTTAAAGCTTTAAAAATCGCCTTTGGTTTGTTTACTGGAGGCATTAGGGGATGTTTCCTCCTAATATATATATATATTAGAAGTTTGTATTCTTAAAATTCTCCAGTGATGCATGTATCTTAAAATATAAGTTAAAAGTGTGAAAAACATATAATAAAGCTTATTTCTAAAAGGCCACAAGGCTAAAAATGCTCTTAATGAAGGAAACATCCTTTGATAACTGAACATATTATGTTCTTAGGCAGCCAATTATGTTATATATTCCATTTTATTTTAGTGTGGCCTCCAAACACTATGCAAACACAGATTGTAAACACAAACAGAATAGTGCAGTCTGTCATTGATGGAAAGCTGGGTGATAACAGCACTTTATTTGTAAACTTCATTGTTTAGTCACTAACATTAGAAACGGCTGTACAATGAATTGGTCCTGTGTAATAGAAAGTCACCCTCAGGGCTAATGTCTGTGCATTAGTAACGTCTATACTAAAAAAGGCTGCTTATCTCTCTGGTATCTGAATGGAAACCATCTGGACTTAAGCTCTAATGCATAAAGACTACAAAATGAATTGATGTATCTGGCTTGATTTGTGAAAGTTTTGTTTACAATCTGTAATATTGCTTAGATCCATCACCTCATCTGAATTCTCAAGTTACAGTAGTTTTCTCCTCCATTTGTATGAGACTGAAATTGAAAACATGACATTTGTGTTTTTCTGCAAAGCTAAGACCGTTCAGGCAAAGTAAGAATTAAGCTTGTCTCCAAGACAACAGTCAGGAAATGTCCCTTAAGTGGTTTCCTGATGGCTTCCTCTTTATCGCTAAATGATATCTGACATGTTGTGTGTGTGTGCAAGTGTGTAATGGGTTTCAGAGATAAAGCAATGTATATCCAGTTAGCTACAGTTTAATGAATTTAATGTGTTTTGCGATATATGACTGCCTTAATCTGGTAAAAAATGCCCCACATTTCCAGATTT